TAAAAGTAAAAAAAAATTGTAGTAGAAAATCTAAAAAGCATCTTGTAGCAGATTTATTCTAGTTTTTGAAACTACCCTTAAATTTTCTGCTGAGATATTTTTCTTTAAAAGTCAGATATCTCAGGGAAAAATTGACGTAAAAAGAATATAAAAAAGCAAATACCTCAAATTGCTTTATTTTGGCAAAAAATTGCAATCTAAGCATTTATTTAAAAAAATACATTTATTAGTTGATTAAAATCAAGCGAACTCAAATCTGTAATTTAAATTTTAATTTAAACAATAATTTTGTCAAAATACATTGATTTTATATGATTTCTTTGTTAAAATCAAGCAAAACTGAATTCGAAATACCTATCTCAAATCGCTTTATTTTGCCAGAAAACATATATTTTTTTGTACTACATTGATTTAAAACAATTGATTTGTTTTGGTAAATCTATTTTCATCTTTGTTTGCAATTTGGTATTAGTTAAATCTGAAAAATAATCGAAGAAATAAAAAAAAAAAACAAAAAATCTAATTTTCTTACCAAAAATTAGTCAGTATTGTTTTTTGATTTTTTTTCAACATTCCAAAAAAAATTAACATTCTTTTTTTTGCAAAAATTAGTGATTAAGTCCTGAAATTTTTTACACATTGATTAGAACGAAAAAATATTTTTTAGGTTTGGGCCTAGGTTCCCGCCCATGAACAAGGCCTACAACCGCGAGTTGATCGACCAGGGCAAAAAGGTGGCCCGAGAACTAGGGCTAGGGGGCGTAGTGCACGAGGGCACTTACACCTGCTTGGGGGGCCCAAATTTCGAAACCGTGGCCGAACTGCGAATGTTGAAAATGTTGGGTGCTGACGCCGTGGGGATGTCCACAGTGCATGAAGTGATAACAGCGAGGCATTGCGATATGACCGTGTTGGCGTTTAGTCTGATAACGAATATTTGTATCACTGATTACGAATGTCATGATAAACCCAACCACGAAGAGGTCATGGATGTTGGAAAAATGAGGCAAGATACACTCAAGTTGTTTGTTAAGAAGCTGGTCGAATATATTGCTCAACATCACACTGAATAAAAAATGCTGTGTTACAATTTATGGGTTTTTTTGCACTGCAATGTGTTTACGAGATATGTAATGACCTCACATTTTGTTCAGTGATGACACGAAATTGCTTATCTTGGAGGGTTATGTAATGGTGCTAAAAACAGTTAAAATTCCCCACGTTAAAAATATTTTTCCAACTGATAACATTGTTCTAAAAATACAAATAAGTGAACGAAAATAAGAGTTTTGTTTTTGTAGCTTTCATTTTTTGAATTTAATTGGTTTTAAGCAATTGTTTATTCTTTAATTCATATTACCACATTTATTTCACTGTTTGGAACCTGAAAAAGAAAATTAAATTCTAAATTAAATTTAAAATAAAATATGTATAGTAGATTTCATTGAAATTGGCATAATGGGTGGCTATCAAGATTTAGGTGTTTAACAAATTTTTCCTTTTTTTATTTTGTAAATTGCAGCAAATCTGTACGTCAATGAAATATCCTTTTTTTAGTTTTTGAATTTTTGAAACATTT